GCTGTCACAACAGTGGTGTGGCTAATACTACCACTAACACTTTAATTTTGTTCCTTGGTTGTGTTTGATGGGATGGCATTGGGGACCAGCTGTTCTCTGTGCATTTATTGACCGTTCTGCCCAGGTAGGAGCTGAGGAGCACAGTAGGCCTGTGTTTTCCCTGCTGTGTTGATGAAATTTGGCTGAGAGATCTGGGTCTACACTGGTCTGGTTGTCCCACCTTTCTGTTCCTTTGTCCGCCAGTCTCCTTGTGAGCAAGAGAGACAGCGGTGCCAACACCTGAAGCAGCATATGTTGTCACTGCAACCATCTGCTGCCGAGTGTGATGGAGAAAAGGAGGGACTTGAATGTGAGGTCCTTTTATCTGCTCTGTTCTGTGAATCTGTTTATATAGATCATGTTAATGACTCTCTATCTGAGCCAGAGCTGCCATTCAGTGAAGATATGTTGAGATGACCTGTCATCGGGGGGGATTGCACAAAGGAGCTGCGATTTGAGGAGTGGTGCAGAGGTCAGGGAGGATGCTTAGGCATAGGGGATAGCTTAGGAGAAAACAAAGTGCTCTGAAAACTTAGAAAAGAGGGGAAAAAAAGGTTTCTGATGAGATTTATCACCAGCCATTATTAATTTGTACGTGGAAGGAAGTGCGAAGTGTTTCCCTGTCTCCTTCAAGCTCAGCTGATTCCTATAGCCTGTCAGTGCCTGCAGCCTGGTGGTGGTGAAGAGGCGTGTGAGTATGTCCTGCTTTTCAGAGCTCGGCCTCTGTATTTCAGAAACATTTTTGCTTCTGTAGATCACCTAAAATTTTCAGAAACCGACTTGAATCGGAGCTCAGGTGGATTGCTCCAAGGCCAGCCCAAGCAAAGCTGTGTACACAGTGCCGGAGGGCAGCGGGCGCTCTAGGTAAGTGATCTTGATAGGTACACTCTGATTGATGGGGGAGTTTGTCTCCCAAACTGTCACAGGGTTTATAGAGGTGCCACTCAATACCAGTGCTGGAATTGCTTGTCAGAGCACCTGGCTGCAAGAGCAATGGGGATTGGAGACAGAGCTGTAACTTTGTTTTTTCTCTGCTTAATGGCCCCAGTGCCTGACCTGCCTGCTCACTCCTGTTTGTCTGGACCTTAAGGAGGCAGCAGGGATTAAGACTGTCAGAGCATTGTGGTGCTTTCGCATCAGGAGGCTAATTGTGTCGGGGATGGCAGCACATGACTAGTGGTTGCCTCCTGCCAAGTGCACAGCAAGAACAAAAAAAAATTCTTCACCAAGATGTAAGAGAGTTTGTGCTTTGGTTTAATCTGTAAGTAGCATTTTCAAATTCACATGTGGAATTATGTTCTTGAGGCTTTAGGTGACCCTCTGTGTAAGATTCGCAGCTGTTCCTATGAATAACAGCCTCAGGATCACATCTCCTGTGAATTCCTAGGTCAGGCGTACAACTTAACATTCAGTTGTCGGATTTCACTTTATTAACACATTGGGATAAAGTTCTGGTCTTGAGCATTGACCTCTGGATAGTGGCATTGGTTTTAGCAGTGCACTCTAGGCAGCTCTGCGGATGCAGTGAATTACTGCGTGTCCTTCGGTAGCAAAGCCCTGCCAAGGAACCGGGGGCACGCTGCTGGATTGCAAATCACCCACGTGTGGTGGCTGGGGGTCTTCTGGAAGCTCCTCATCTCCTCCTTTGGGTCTGAAACAGACCCGTTACAGAGCTGGTTTGTTCTGCTCAGTGCCCTCAGTGCTCCGTTTCGCATCTTCCTCGTTTCTGGATGGTACTGTGGAGCTGTCAGCATGAGCTAAAGTTCTGAGCCCTCTTTAGTCTTGGGCTGAGTTACTGAGAAGCAGGTGTGATCCTATCAGGCCTTCCTTGCATTTAGTGGCCCTCTTAATCCATTTATAACAGCACTTGTCCAGAAATCTGTTTTGAATGAGCCTGAGATGAATGAATAATGTCAAGCAGTTCAGACGTCAAATATTTGAACAGCTGTGTGGGTGTTTTCACTGGCTTTGTGCATGGAAGCAACCTCAGGAAGTTAGGCAAGGAGAGTCGGGTTGGAGCTGTGGCACTAAACCCCAGCCCATCAGAACTGGCCTCGGGATCCATCCCTGCTGCAGGTGAAGGCATCAGAATGAGCGGCCTGCCACCAGCCCTCCTGCAGGGGATGCTGGACCAAGCTTGGCATCCTCCTCTTTCACATTCTCAACATGCAGTGGTAGTACTGGGATTTATAGACTTTTAGATTTGCACTGGAATCATATTTTGTCATTTCCCTGCACCCCCCACTTTTTTTTTTTTTTTTTTAAGACAACCTTTGAAGTCTTAACTGATAGCACGACTACACTGAATCTTTCTTGGTACAGAGCTTATTTTGTTTAGTGTACAGTTCGTGAATTAGTTTGTTGGGTTTATTTCTACCATGTTACAATGAATTACACTTATTTAAGAAGAAAAAAAAAAAACACTTTAAAAAAAATAGTCCATATTTGGCGTAGAGCTCAGAGTTGGATCACCTTATTGTGACTTCTTTTAGGCATTGGTCTGGGAGTCCTTGTTCTATCAGAAGGCAAAATTTGCCCTATTACTACAGCTCAGCTTAGTCTGTGAACTACTCTGTTCTGTTCTTCTCCCAGTGCACATCTGTCATCTGAACATGTCTTGTCCAAACCCTTCCCCTATGCATTCCTGTGTACAGTAGGAAAGAAAGCACCCTGTTGGGAATGCAGTCATTTCTACTGCAGAGCTAGATTTAGCAAAAGATCTGTGGAGTATTACCATTACAGACTTAAAAGGGATTTTCTTAAGTGCAAAGGTTTTGAGAGCAAGGACACTGGGATTCTGAAGTCAAGGTGCCTTCATATTTGTAAATTGTTTCACAGTAAGCAGATCTTCTTTTCTTAAGCTCTAACCATAAACCACTAGTCAGCTTAAGTCACTTGGGAACAAAATTGATAGAAAGATGCACGATTTCTGAGTGCTTGGCATTCTTTCAGAGAGAGACATGCAGGGAGCAGTCTCTTTTAGATTCACTCTTTTGGACCCCTTTCCCTCCCAGCAGTCTCCAAGTATTCGTTATCTGGCTAACATTCAGATCACCTCTGGGACAGGCCAAGTCACAGCTCTAGCTCTACATGATTTGTGTTTCCCACAGCTACAAAAGAAAAATGAAGACCTATATGTCCGAAGTTTATGGCCTTTGAGAAGTGATGGGCTAAAGCAATGCCAGGTGCAGGGGATGGTGTTACTGCAGGTTAAATGCCATGCCTGTAAATTACTGCCCCATCACCCCCTGCGACTTCTCAGGCAGCTTTGAAAGACTATCCAGCTTCTTTGACAGGTCTCTCTTAGTACTCTAAATCTTCTCCCAAACATTGTGATGAACTGAAGGTTCCAAGATTTACTAGATGAGCCATTGCAGCAATAGGAGGCAGCTCATGACATATGTTGGCTGGCAGTGTGTGGCCACTACACCTATAAAGGCTCTGATGGAAGGAGGCTGCCCTGATGTCACTGCAGAGCTGACCTACGAGCACCTCTTGCACTACCTGACACACAGGGTGGATGTGCATTGTCGATGCTAGCAGCGTTGCTTCTGCTGGAAATTAAGGCTGGCAATTACTTTCAAGTAAAAGGTAGTTTATGCTTCTAGAAAAGGTTAGTCTTAAAATCGTTGTGCTACGGTTATCCCTCGTTAAGGACCTTCTTTATATTCAGGGAAGAGAAATATCAAATCCATATAAACAAATTTTATTGGGGGCTTAATGAATCAGTGAAAGCATCCATTCCTAGAGAGCGACAGTAAAGGGCTCTGTCTGCATGGTGTCCTTGGAAATGAGACCTTACCTTGCCCTGTTCTCTGCACAGATGCAGACTTAGGAATACAGCTCACTCCTCTCAGCTGGGAAAGTACAAGTCTGCTGCTGATCATGTGAGACTGTGGGAGCCCAACTCAAGCCATCATACCACTCAAAAGGCTGACTTAGGTTCTGATAACATCATCTTTCTTCAGAGATGCACCTCATGTTCACCATTCCTACATTAACGATAGCCTGTCTTCTGCACTTAGATTGACAATGCAGAAATCTACCACCTTTGGGACATTCGTGCAAAGCCAAGGCCACCTCTACCTTTCTTGTTGGGTGTCAGCAGATAGGATGTGCTTGAAGGCCTGGTCACAGACTTGGGTCAGCACCCATCTGTTTGTGCCCCATCCTTTGCCTTCCACCTAGTGCCATCTGTCCCAGGAGAGTGGGATGGTAAGTGAAGGAGCGTGCTGGAGGCAGCCAGAGTGAGCAGAATTAGGTCTGTATAGTTTATGTCCCAAGACAACTCACCTTAAATCTGCTATAGAATTGAATGCAGATAAGGGCCTTGCACTACCCTAGCAGCAGGAGCTCTTTGTTCAATTTTTCAGTTGCATAGGAGAGAGCATGTCCAGTGTTCAAACACATAGAGGGTAAGTATAAGGGCTTCCGTCCTATTACTAATCTTCAGGTAGTAAATAGCAAGTGAAGATCCATCTTCTGTAGGTGCTTGCATTCATTTAAAAGAAACCTCGTTACAACCAGCTGTAACACAGTCAACAGAATGCTTTGGAACCAAAATAAATCTATATACTGCTAGAAAGGAGTACTTGCACAGCTGGCATTGTTTCCTCTTGCTTGGGACTGGGCTTGTGCGTGATCAACTCTTGCTAGAAGTACAGGACTCCTGTTGACTTGTACTAGAATTTGCTCATGTAGGAAGTGTTCATAAGGGGCTGCTAATGACTGAAGTCTGATGTTTTCTTAGAAGCAGGTTTGCTTTTCTTAAACATTTCAAATAATTAAAAAAAAACCCTGAATGCATTGTTTGCTTGTTTGTTTTAAATGATGATTCCTTCTGTGAGCCCATTCAGAGTAAAGGATGACCTGCGGGCTGGTACCCCTATCCTTAGAAGATCTCCTTTGCTTGGTCTCCACTTCAAATGCTCACCAGCACATTCTGTTGTTTTATTTTCCAGGTTCTGGGTTCATCATGTGCAGCGGCAAAGAGAATCCAGACAGCGACGCAGACCTGGATGTGGATGGGGACGACACACTCGAATACGGGAAACCACAGTATCGTTTTTGAAAGGCTTATAACTGACAGGGAGCCTAGAGATCCATCTTCAGCTAGTGCTTATGTAGCACTGCTCTGGGTAGTGTTGAGCAGTGTGTCCAGCCATACTAGAAAGGGCACCACCTTCCCCAGTTACCCCGTTATTTGAGCTAATAGGGATTCTCAGTTTCCTCTCTTTGAGGTCCTTGTATACATGCGGAACTATTTCAGATCTTGTTAGTGAAGTCTGTATGAGATGTTGAAGGAGATCAAAACTACTGTTTCTCCGGTCTGTATTTCATAAGTGATACTAACTTTTGTGTCTGTCCAAGCATCTTCTGTATAGGTAGCTTTTCCTGCTTTGTGGTTAGAAATGTAGTTTATTTTCCACAAGACGTTTGTTTGATTTCAGGGGTTTTGTGCAGTGAATATTTTGAGCATTATTCACCTGCAGCTGTAACTGTGAGAATAAGTTTTTATTCCTTTTGTTAGACGCTTCATTAGGGGCAGTTTTCTGGAACTCCAGCTGGGAGCCAGACTCTTCAGACACAGCTCCAGAACTTCTGCCCTACAGCAGCTGTGCAGCCATCAAGGAGGACTTCCCACAAGGGTATTAGGCAGACATCGACATAGCTGTGTTGAGAGGGAATATAAATCTACAGAATTAGATTGTGTTCAGATCTGAACCAGTCTTTAACACCAAAGCATCTAGCTTTAGCTGGTTGATCTCCATACTTCAAACAGAAATAGTAGAGTTGTGCAGATTTCACTTTTAGAGGTTGAGGAATTGGTTTTCCTCTTCTGAAAAGCTGTGGTTTTGTTGCTGTCTAAGGACTTGTCTGTATCTTTCCACCTAAAACAAAACTGTTATCCAGAATCTAAAAGCAAGCCTCTCCATGGATACCAGCTGCTGTTCCTTTGAGGTTTGATGTGAATACGTTCTGTATCCCAGATAGTGTCCCAGCCATCTCAGAATTCTTTCCATTGTCTGCAGCAAGGCTGTATGTTTCTTAACTCCTTGTGCTCAGGTACACAGAGGCAGACGTTATCCCTTGCACTGGAGAAGAGCCAGGTGAAGCCAAAGAGAGGGAGGCGCTCCGAGGTGCTGTTTTAAAGTAAGTGCTGTGCCTTTCTGATTCGCTTTTGTTACTTCTGGGGAATCTCAACTTGTGGAAGGTATCTGTTTGTTTGACCAAAGGACTGCCATAAGGGAGTCTTACAAAGAACCACTGTGTAACAGGTGGGTCTCCATTTCTGTCTGTGCAGCCTCATAAAGCTTCCCTGCACACACTTCCCCACCTTAACCACTACACTGCCCAGCCAGTGCTATCTTCTCCCTGAGCAGTGCTGGACAAAGGGTGGATTCTAGCCATGGGGAACCTGTGCTGTGTCAGGGCTTTGTGCACACCTTGCCATGTATTAGGAGACTGGCACCTAAGGTATGATTTCATTGCATCATATTTGTGTTGCAGGGTATACAGATTAATCCTGCATGCAGGTCTGGGCAGAATGAGTGCTATGCCCACAAGCATGTGTCAAGAATGTAGGCAGACAGCGTTCAGGGCGCTTGGGGAAGCATTTCAGGCAAGTAAAATGAGTCTTAACAGAGAGCTAGGATTGCTTTCTAAGCCCTCTGCCCTGCATAAAGCAGGGCTTAAATTACCCCTCTGTCTCTTTTGCAGAGTGATCCTGTGAGGTCAAGGTTGAAGTGATTGATAGAGCAGTGAAATGAAGTTTTCTTACTGCATAGTCTGTCACAAACACTAGTTCAAAATTAGGTTCCACTCCATAGAAGTGTGTATTTGCCATACTGGATCCAAACCATTGATCCATTCAGTACTTTGCAAACTGTGCTAGACCACAGACGTGCCTGAGAGATGCTAAAGCCCCTTCACAGCTAAGAAAAAGAAGCGCTGTAACAAGATATCAGTGTCCCTTATTAGTGGCTGTGGACATTTAACACTTAAGTGAGACCACTGAGGATGTGAGATGTGGAAACCCAGTTCCTTCATGTGACTTGCGCCTAAGATGTTTTGTTGTTTGTATGAAGTCTTTCCACATCTCTCTGTAAAGCAGAAGGGATAATGTTGCTTGTGAAAGCACTTTGAAATTTGGGCAACTTTCTGTAGGAATGCAGTAAATTAGGTAAATTAGCTGATGCCCTGAAGCATAAGCCTATGTTACCTTTTGAGCACAGCTGTCACAGCTCATAGAGCTGAAATGTTATACAGCCACAAGTATACAGGCTCCTGGGAAGATCCCTTTCTCTTACTGCCTCTGTTACTGGCTTGCAAATGAATGGATGGGGCCAGGAGCGGTCTGCACTTCAATGCTGTCATTCTTCAAATGGGAAAATGAGAAGGATGGGGCTTGTGATGGCATACAGTTAGTTCTAAAGCAAGAAGCTATTGCAGCATGGAGGATTTCTGTTCACTGGTAGGGTTTTCATCTTTGAAGCTGGGTATTCGAGAACGAGCTTTAGGTCACAGGTGCTATTTGATTCCCAAGCCTTCAGTAAGCATCACAACCCTCGTGTGATTCAGCAGAGGTCTCAGCTAGAAGAGCAGGTTGGGAGTTCACTGGTAGAGATGCGGGCTAACACAAAAACACCTCCTGCAGCAAGCCAGCAGCTCACATTTGATGCTTAGACTGATAGTTAGAAGTGTTGGGAGAGATGTATTTGGATTGGTGGGTGGAAGCACTGGCTTTTCCCAAGCAGCAAAATCTTCCACATTCAACCTTTAACATTCTGCCCTTCTCTCTTTTAGTGGTGGCACACCCAGTACTCGAATAACGCCGGAGTTTTCTAAATGGGCCAGCGATGGTGAGTGTTAAGCATGTCAATAATTCATCTGTTAGCTACAGGAGGGCAGATAGGTATTCCGTCCAATTACCAGTAATTAGGGAAATGCTAGGTACAGGTGCTCTTGCGCAGTACCAGCAGATGTGTGTGCAATCTATTATGTTATCTTTTTTAATTTATAGCACAGTGAACTGTAGCCAGTGAATTTGGGGAAGTTCCCAAAATGGAACTGTAAGTGATATGGTGATAGAGACAGTCTATTGGATTGACTTGCTGTCTTGTCGCTAAAAGACAAACTGCTATATCACAGAGGGAGCCATCAGAGCTTGACTGTAATGTTGTTGTTCAGCTGTTAGGAGTTTAAACTATATAGGCACCTGTTGCTTTTTTTTTTTCCCCTCAGCTGCTTATCATCTTCACATCTTTAAAGGGGTATGCTGGAGGTTCTGGGATCTGTGCTACCTTGTGACTTGTTGCAGAGACTCCAGAGCAAGCGAGTGAATGTGAAATTTTAATTCACATTATTAGTAATTCAAATTATTTGGAAGCTCATATGATTAATTGAGGGGTGGAGGGTTAAACCTATTCAGCTGTTGCTTTGTTTTATTTAATGCCAGCAGCACTGGAAGTGTAAGCAGCAACCCAGTGGAAATATGAGAATAATAAAACCTGGCGCTTTCCAGCTGTAGATGCCAAATCCATTTCCAGAGCTGGGCAGTGCTATTCTAGCTCCCTTAGGAAGGGAGCTGAAGCTCAGTGACCTGAAGAGACTTGTCCCAATGATTCTGTTTCCTGTTCTGTTACAGCAGTGCTTTGGGCTTTTGATTCCCAGCTTTTAACGTACCTACAAGACATAAGAGACTGTCAGTGGAAGAGGGGGTTGGGTTGGAGCAGTTTTGCCAAGGGCATGATGATTAAATGAAGAACATAAGATATCTATCGCAGGCATTTGCTTCTGTGGGGTAGGCAATCACATCTGTTTTCTTTGATGTAGGCTCACTCGCTTGTAGGTGTGTTCAGCTTCAGTAACTGCAGCCACAGCAGTGATGAGGAAGCAGCTCTGATGGTGCTTGCTATGAGCTCTGTTTTCTTCATACCTTTTACATGAGGCAGTGGTGCTGAACCTGCAGCCCAGGGACTGGCCCCAGGATGGTTCATCTGGCTTGTTTCTGACTGCTAGCTTTCCTGGAGGCTCACACTCCTCCTGTGCTGGGAGGAGCCATGGGACTGCTGGTTGAGAAGAGAGCCACAAGCAGACTGTTCTGTCATACTACTTACTGGCATATATTTTTCTTCCTGTCTGTGCCTGAAGGGTCTTGGAAAAAGGGGGAAGTTGAGAGCAGAGTCTGGGCTGGATAAGTTTGCTCTGTAGTCACCTTTCTGGAAGTACTTTTTGGTGCAACAGCTGCGTCAAACCTTTCTGAATTAAATCCTGGGTTGAACAGCTGGCACATCTGCAAGGGTAGTCAGTTTGTAGTGAAAAGAGGGTACATATTGTACTTTCAGCCTAACTTGTGGAACTGTGCTATGCAGGGAGAGGGCCTCCCTGCCAGGCAGGGGTATGTGGTATTGGTCTCCTCTCTTGAAAAATTGACGTGAAAATGTCTCACCGGAGTCCTCTGCTTCTGAAACTGTAACTTAGACTACTTCATCTCAGTGGTAAAATGTCCTGTTCTGTTAATAATTTGTCTGTTCTTCCCTCAACAGAAATGCCCTCAACGAGTAATGGTGAAAGCAGTAAACAGGAAACCATGCAGAAGACCTGTAAGAACAGTGACATTGAAAAGTGAGTGTAAAGTGGATAGCTTTTATTTCTTGTTGGTTTAAGAACTATGGAGTCCACTGACTCTCATCTATCTCTGTTTTTGAGGACAGTCCATTGTCTCTGTTCTGTCTTTTCTAATGTACTTGCATGTACCACCCTCCATCTTTCCAACAAGGGGGATCCCAGCAGTCCCATAACTTGGCAGGAGATTCACTGAGAGAATTAAGATCCAGATTATATCTCTGTATGGTTACTAACAAAAATATTTCTCAGTTTCTATGTTTATTCTATGTTTACCAACCCTTCCAGTTGAATCAGAAATTTGACTCTCAGTGTTTGACTGTTCGATAATGCAGGTGCCCCAGTCATCTCCTTTCCTTTCCCTCTCTGCTGGCTGGATATCCTCCAGCATAGGAGAGAAAAAAAAAAATGCTTTTTTTCTGCACTTTGTGGTTGAGTAACAGCCTCCCTCCTCAGCTTACTCCCACAAGCTCAGGAGGTGTCCTGCTTAGGCATCATTTGGCAGTCCAAGCATACAAGTGCAGGCTATCCACTGTTGCCATGGGCTGTTAATTATGGGATTTTTTGAGTTGGTAATTGCCTGAAATAAAACGTTGTCCCAGGATCAAGTGAGAGGCAAAGCAGCTTGATTTAAATGGAAGACATGAGAAAAAGCAGGTTTTAAGAAGGGAATATTTACACTTTGGGCTAGATGTATTGGTAATTTAGGATGGGGAAAACCTGATGTTGAAATGAAGACTTTAAAGAAAGTTATTCTTTAATGTAGTTAATTAACTTCTTGCCCCGGTCCTGATGCAGAAGCTTGTGTCACTTGCACATTGTGGGGTGTCTCATAGTTCAGGCAGCCTGGCAAAGCTTTTGTTCACCATCAGGAGTTATAGCTGAGGAAATTCCCTGCTGCAGAGGAAGCTTTAACACTGCTTTGCAGTCTCGGCACTTTTTGCAAGACAATTTTTTGGCATATACCAAACATGGGCTGTGTGCCGTTTGATACTTGGTGAGCGGACTTTGGCCAAAGACCGCAGAGCAGGAGAGCTCACAGGTCAGTACTGAAACAGCGTTGCCCTTAGCACAAGCTTGGCTATTGTACATGTTCTGGTGGCCAGGACTCAAGAATACACGCATCCCATTTGCCCTGATCTGTCAGCCTCTGTCTCAGATACTGCTCCAGGCCTCCTGCCTGTCAGACTAGCAGCCCTCCACCCTCCCAGATCTACTTCTATTGAAAATCTTTAAACTGCAGGAGCTGAAAGGATTTGACATTTTCCAGAACACTTGAGCTCAAGTGATAAAATTGACATAGCTTTAATAATCTGATCAAAGAGGCTTTAGCTAGCACCTTTTGAAGGATCCCAGAATCCTTTCCAAACAACACGTGTGCCAGCTCTGCTGTGAAGTGGAGGGGTGAGTGAGTGTGTGTGTCTTTGCATGCACGTGTGTGTGCGTGTGTATATATGCACACAATGCCTTGTTCCACAATAGCCTTGTCCTGCTGAAGCTTCAATGCTGCAGAAGGTGCGAAAGGTCAGCAAAACCCAATAGAAATTACAGGAAGGACCTCTGTGTCTTGCTGAGTCTTTCCAATAATGCTGATTTTTAAAGAAGCAAGGAGGGCTTTTTATTTAAGGCCCTTTATTTCACTGAGGTTCAGAAGGCAAGATGGTGTTTCAGGTGGAGAATTTCCTAACTGCTGTTTTTTTGTTGTTGTTTTGTTGGGTTTTTGGTTTTTTTGCTCCTTTCCTTTGAGATTTGTGTGTGATAAATAGTTTCTGTCCTGCCATTTAAGAAGTCTGAATGCTCTGTGTGCTTGTCTATGTAGAGGGGTTCTGTTAAATTAATTGATAACAGGGATCAGAGCTAGAAGCCTGCAGAAGGGGGGGAAGGGTTTTATACTGTCTGTCTGATTCCCACTCCACTGCTGAGCCATGATATATGACGACCCAACCCAACAGGCTAAATTGATTCATCTCTAGTTCCTGTTTCTTAATCTGGACCTAAATTGGTTTCATTTTTCTTGTATTGGGTGGCACTTGCAGGAAGTTTTCGGCAGCATCGCTTTACACTGTTGCTTGTAACTTTAATTTTTGCTTTTAGACCTGCACATTGCTGATAGGCATGGTAAGCACTGTGTAGCATCTGATGAGCATTTTTCAAAGCATTGGGAAGCACATGACCACCTGTCTCAGCCATGCCCTCCGTTCAGGCAGTTGGCAAATAGAATTAGCAGTGATCTGCATATCGATCCTTCCTTCTTACGGGTGATGTTCCTTCCCCCTCCCCTCTGCCAAAAATACATCTAGGTGAGGAGAGCCGTGTTTCTCTGATAGGTCAGCACTGAGAACTGGAGCTCATCAGTGTGAGCTCTGAACTGTGAGTGGCAGCCATGTGCTGGGCACTCTCCTTCCCAGCACTGCAGGCCCACATAACCTCATCTCTGTGCCGATGGAAGGCGTCTGGGCAGCACCACTGGGTGCTTTGTGCCGAAGGCTCCTGGGAGCAGGCAGGCCTTGTGGGCCCTCAGCAGATGGGCCGAGGTCAGCTGGCACGAGATGCAGCTCCGGTCAGCAAAGCGGTCCCTAATTGCCCAAAAGCCCACCCCACATCTCTGCAACAGACACAGAAGTGCTTTTCCCCACAGAAGTCTTCCTCCTCCTCCGCCCTGGAGCTGCCCGCAGCGGCCTGGCGCCATTTTGAGGCCGAGGTTCCCTGGGGTTAAAAGCCAGCATCTTAATTCAGAGTGCCAATGTTCAATTTTGCTTTCTGCCACCAGACTAGATTGCAGGCCAGCGAGAGAGTCTGGGTTAGTGGCCCACTGGGTCACCTCCCATTTGTTTTCCTCAATTTTGTGTTGTCATAAATTCATTCCAGCCCGTTGTGGTTGATCAGTTTATCTCCGCCGGGGCAGGGAGCGCTGCGAGCATGATGTATGGCACGGAGCATTGTAGCCAGCCTCTCCATGAATCACTCCAGCTGGTTGGTGTCAGCCCCAAAGCAAACAGGCCCCGGCCGCTGAGCGTTGACTACGATGAGCTCAGTATGGGAAGAGACATGACGTATGAATGTTTATTTAATAATTCTCTAATATTTCCAGCGGAGTGTGGCTGTGCCTTCTGGGGGGAGGGAGGGAGGTTGAAGAGGGAAACTCTAATCTGTTGGGGTGGGTCATAAATCAGGAAGACAACATCATTAATCAGGGATGGGACCGAACTGGAAGGAGGTGGGACTGGAGCTGCCATCCTCAGTGGGAAGGGGCTGTGCTCTTTTTTTTTTTTTAAATCTTGTTTCTGATCCCACTTGGCCCCAGCAGTGCTGCCCACGTAATAGCAAGCCTGGACACACGGCTGTTGAAGTGAGTACGCTACCTCCATCATAAACCTTGCGATGCAAGCCTGCCAAGCATTAAATCCCTTTATAATTATCTTCTTTATATAACACTTCATGCTCATCATGCTTCATTGGATGAGATGCTCGTTGGGTTAAAAAGAGGGTCTGGGAGACAAAAAGCAATTGTATTCTATTTTTCTGGTCTCCTCTTTCTTCCCCTTCCCCCTCACTTCACCTCTTTCCAGAGCAGCTGTTCAGAAAGCATTGGCTCTAATGTTGGCTGCTGCAGGAGCATGGGGGAGAGAATTAGTTAAAATTAAAGTGTAGGGTGGATTCCACGTGCAAAGAGCAGTAGGTGAGACAGCAGCGTCCGGGTCTCAAGGCCTCTGCTCCTGGGGAGACAGGTTGAGACTGGAGCCTCTGCTCCAGCGTGCAGCCAGAGGATTAGCTCAGGCCTCAGAGGCAAGGAGCCACGCTTAAGCCACTGTGTCACAGGGAAGCAGAAGCTGTTGTGCATTTGCACTGGAGGATAAGCACTCCCCAGCCCTTCTCTGTAATGTCACACCATTAATAGGCTTTGGTGGTAGACAAGAAAATCCTGTAGCAAGGATAAATTTGTTTAGAATTACCTCAAGCCATTAATGACCTAGCCCTTTGTGCTCAGGGGGGAGCGTGGGGCTGAGGATCGGCAGCAGGAGGCTCCAGGCTGAGACCAGCCCACACAGACTGGAGATGAGGTTTGGGAGGCATGGGGTTGTTGAAGCTGGGCTGAGTGCTGCCTGCGTCTCAGGGCTCTTGTCCAGATCTGTTATTTATTTTTTAAGCTTTAGTTCTTCCTGTCAGTAATTTAATAGAATGTAATATGTGCTGGTGGTCAGAGTTGGAAAGGTGCATGGGCAGATGTTGGGCTTTTTTTATGAAGTGAGACATTCACATTACTTCATCCCCTCGATTGGGTGTTCAGGCTCTGGTGGTGAACAGAGTGCTGGGTTTTCTGCTCCCTCCTTTAACTGTTTGGTAGAAACTAGATGTGCCAGTGATGATCTCAGATGTGATTACCACTGTGCCAGCTGAAATTCTGTCAGTGTCATGGTTCTTCTCGGGCTAGCAGTTAATGAACCAGATCAGCCTCCCAGTTAGCTAGTGACAGGATGAAAGGGAATGGCCTTAAATTGCACCGGCGGAGATTCAGGTTGGACATTAGGAAAAGCTTCTCTGAAAAGAGTGTTCAGGCACTGGCACAGGCTGTCCAGGGAGGTGTCAGAATCACCGTCGCTGAAGGTGTTAACGAAACGTGGGGATGTGGCACTGAGATGTGGTTTAGTGGGTGATATTGGTTGCAGGTGGACAGTTGGATTGGATGATCTTTGAGGTCTTTTCCAACCTTAATGATTCTGTGATTCTGCAAAGCTCAGCAAGGCAGGCTAACAGGAAGAGTTCGGTTCTGGTGTGACAGTGCTATCCGTTCTACAGTTGTATCCAGAGATAGGGTCTAATACTCATGCTTTGGAGACAGTTCTTGCAGACACGTTGGACATCTTCCTGCAGTGGAAGAGGTGCTTTTGTCTGTAATGTTTTAGAGCTGAAGCCAGAGTGGCTCTTGTGGCAGTAGCATCCTCATCCCACCGTGAGCTCAAACCCCAGGAAGGAATTTTCTTCCTATCTTGCGGGTGCAG